GTATGCACAATCAGCCCGTCAGTTATATACATATATAGTTTATCAATACTTCCTTCCAGTCCGTTTTCGAATATTAAAAAACTATATACATATATGCTTTCGGTCTGATTACATCTACAGGGTATCTGCTAGTTCTATGCTATGCTGCAATTGTGAGCGAAAAGCAACCCGTTAGATACCGCTCAGGTGCAATGTGTGCACTGCCTAATGTTGTACGCCGGGTACGTACACGGCCGAGCACAGCCTGGCCCTTAGTCAGACGTCCCTGACATGCCAATACAATGGTAACCACAGCTGGAACGCATTGCTCGCGTATTGGAGATGGGCGATAGGCGATAGGTGAGAGACACCACGACATGACACGAGTTGGATGCGCGTATTTCACCCCAATTTTTCCACTTGGGCACTTTGTGGTCGATCCGACATCTCTATGGAACTAGTGTGTGGTGTGTGCATTAGATATGGGCCGTGAGTTTGTCCCGTGTCACGACGGGCTACTCATTCGTGCTTTCGCGCTACAGTAAATATAAATATTAACAGGCATAACTTTCGACTGAGATGCAATCCAGTTCGCAGAGCGTAAAAGGGAATATTGATATTTGGATAGAAAAATGTAATGATGGAAAAGCAGATTCTGAACGGATTTGCGAATCAGTTAAAGCTTCTGCAGACATTTGCCAAATATTGGGAAATAATTATTCGAATTCTTGAAAAACATAACCACAACAACTTCGTGTTTCGTGTTCGTGCTTCGTGTTCGTGCTCGTGTTGGACCGTATCGCTCAAGCCTGGCCCGCATCCATATCTAGTGTGCATACATTAATATAGATATTTACTAAAAATCGCAGATTCCTTTGTTGTTTCTGTTGTTGTTGTATCGTGCAACATAAATAGGGTGCTGGATATAAAGTTAATGCCCAACACACGACCCAAATTAAATTTAATAACCAATTAACAGTATCATTCGTGTTCGTGGCATACAAATTCTAAGCATACCTTCATTATGAAAGGAGCCACCCCAAAAAAGTCGACATTATTTCAACGAGGATTGATAAGTAGCAAGACAAGTTAAACGAGCGAAAGTGACTCGTTTGAGAGTATCCACTTAAGAGATACCCTGTAACCAATTACCATTCCCACCATCGTCGAATGCCCTTGTTATGGTATCCAAAAAGATAAATAAACTGGACCTGTGTTCAGGTCTCTAGCTCTTATAGTCTCTATAAGACGGACGGACGTAATCGAGAATATACAGTGAACACTCTCTTAACGCGGACACATTGTCTGGCACATCTTTTTATAGCCTACACAAATTGAAAATGGTTTTGAGCAAATGTCTATAACAGGCAGAAGGATCTCCGCATCTCCGACCCCACTGGGTATACTCCTCCGAACATTTCTGTTTGTTAAATATGACTATTTATATAAGTTTTAAATTGATCAAAATACATCTTAAAACTAGGCCATGCACATGTTTGGAGGGCACAAAAGTAGCCCAAGGGTGTCTTCAGTCCGTATCCTTTTGGGATTGGGAAGAGGTCTCCATTTTGCGGGGCAAGTTGCCAAACAAACTTCACGCACCAAATCTTTGACCCCCCTATTTATACCGAGAGGGAATAGATTTTAAATCTGCCCTCTAATTAGGCAATAATTAAGTTTGTTGGCAAGACCTTAACAATTATGTATTAAATGCTTGTTTAGTGCAAATGTTGTGGGAGGAGAAGGGTTAAAAATCGAACATACTCTCTGGGGTAGATCAAGCGGGTGTGTTTTTGTCTCCGACTCTGTCTCGATGATACGCTGTTGTCCAACAGATTGGGGACGAGATTGTCTGGGCTATTGTGTTATCTGGAATACCTAGCTGTAAGTCCATGCTGGCTTTAGAACACTATGACGCGGAGCTTCATCTTGGACTGCCTTCCGATCAGCCAAGAAAATTGATTGAGTTTGCTCTCAGCCTGCTTCCGAATGACGGAACCATCTAAGAAAACTGGAAGGCAGCGTGAAGGTAGTGTGTCCAGGGAGAGATTTTTTGTTAATGGTCGATAAGAATAATTAATACATAAACCTTATTGTCGAAATCATATTACTATAGAAAACAAACAGACAAATGCGCAGCAAAAAGGTATTTAAAATGTATATCAATTTGTAGTTATATAAAGAATATTGAGTGGATATTGTAAAGAGTTCATGATGGGAAATTTATAGACTGTCTGTCTAATTATAGCTTGGAATGGTCAGTGAGTACTGCCCGAAGGTATCCTGAAAGCAAAGAGATTATAAGGGGAAAAGCCACAGAATAATACGAGGAATAATCTATTGTAAGCTTTGCTTGTTACGTTTTTCAGCCTTATAGCGCTGAATTTAAGAACGGAACAGTACTGAACAATAACAATAACAACAATACAATCCCAGTTTGAGCTTGAAATAAGTTTATACAATTCTTGACTCACGAGAGCTCACGAACTTGTGTGCACATAGAGAAGCATCTACTTACATAAACATACACAAATACAGAGCTTAAATTAAATTAAGTACGAATTATACTTAAATCAAGATTTTTTAGCTTGAGAGGGAGGGAAACCTAAAATGTCAAGCTTAAGGTGTAAGTGGTCATGTTTAGCAGGGAAGGCACCTGATTTGCAAAAATGCTGAAAAGTAGAAGAAATAATGTTTTTAAATCATTTAGGGATAGAGGACAGTCTTGCAATTTCCCTGTAATTTGTTCTATTCAACTCTTCACGCTTTTTGTGGAGAACGGATACTTTCCAATGAGTTGGAAAAACAGAAGATTCAAGGGATAGATAAAAAAGTTTTAGCAATGGACGATAAAGGGAAGCACTACACTCCTTGAGTAAAGAACTTGGAACAGGGATCACTTGGATCACCACGATATGTTCGTCAAAAAAATAACCCAGCTTGCTAAATAGGCCATTATCAAGCATATGAGTGGAAACTTTTTAAATACGTCTCATGTAAACTCGAATATCGGAGTAGCGTTGGGAATATATGTAACTATCATTGAGACAATCTCAGCGTCAGTAGACGCAGCAAAACAAAGAGCTTCTGACTGGAGAGTGACTTTAACGGCAATAAATACCCCACCACGTCGAGTCGGTCGACCTGACCTTTCTAGCTTGGCACAGAAACGCAAGTACTGTCAGAAGAAAGCCAGGACATTGCATTGGCGATAGTCCAAATTGAAGGGAAATTCAAAAATTGACACTCCAACCGGAGTCACAAATTTATACTGTAATAATTGTTGAATTATTATAATTAAAAGACTTTAATTATTTAAGTTCAATGCTATTGTGGGGTTTATTTTATGTAATAATCAAGTTGTCACGGTGATGGTTGACGCTCAACTGTGGCACTCAATATATGATGGTGCAAACTGCATTGATGGGTGCGTTCCCTATACCTGCATAAATATGTCATCGACTAGCAGCGACACCTAGTGACGAACTATACTTTTTCGATATCGAAGAAGCAATATATTATAGCCACATTGTCAAGTTTTATGTATGTATATTGACCACAGTCGACCAGTCCTCAAAATTATCAACGTCCACATGAAATTGTACTGGATGTCTCATCTACATATATGTTCTATGGTTAGTGACACTGGGCACGATCAACGCAAGCAGCCGCAGCCCTTCATAGCAATGTAGAGCATGCATCATACATCATCTTCGCACATAACCAGCAATTTAAAAATTGGGGCTGTGGAGAATTTCCAGCCTGTTTGGACGTGCTAGCTTGTTTATCAGCACGTTATATTGACTACCGGGGTTGACGATAAGCAGAATAAAGTTGCTAGAAGACAGAGCGAATGATGAACGGTGCGCAAAAACAGAGCAAGAATACGCTCAAAATTTATTCGTATACAAACCATTTTTATTTGGTGCAATAAGCAACACCAACAAATTGGGAGAGCGCGATGCACAAGCGCACACACACAAAAAGCGTATGCACAGGGGAGAACGAAGAGAACGGATAATCAAAACAAACACCAACAACAAAACGGGGCAGACGCCGCGGTTAATGAATGCAATAAGTAATAAACTTAAGCTGCACAAGTAATAAAGTAAGGCACAAAAAACAAGAGGCTCTAGTCGGGAGGTCCCGACTAGAGGATACCCTGCACACTCAGTATTAAAAAAAAAAGTCCGACATCGCATTTTAGGATTGTGCAAATAGTGTGAAACACGTCTCCAATGATTTTTCATATAGATCTTTGCAAATGAATTTGAGTGCGAAACGTCACCCATTTGACCTCCATTTTCACCAAGGAGGAATGCATTTTTTGAAAAGTGTGAAACACCCCTCAAATAAATTTAGACAAAGATCGGATGGTATACAAAAAAGTTGCATACAAACATTCTTCGCGATTTTTCCACACTTGCGGGTGGAATTTCCCTAAACCCCGTCTTAACGTCCACCTTCAACACAGTGGAAATTTCAGCTTTCTAGCTGGGTATGGTATGGGCTGAGTGTTGATCACCAATCAGTCAGAACAAACAGTTTTACATGTAGAGATATACTTTTGGGCATAACAAATATATTAATATAATTATACCCTCAGGGAGGGTATAGAAAATTTGCTGAATTGCAATCGCAATATATAAAGAATGACAAAAGGGAGTATAACGATTTCATGCATTTTCGAAAGACTTTTGACATCAGAGAAACTAATTACTATAAAACAATCTTTTAGTGCCCAAATATAAAATAAAGCAATTTTTCAACATATGAACAAAATTTCCAATCTATACACAGTTTGTCAAAAGACTAACAGACTAATAAGAGACTCGATGGGAGCTTATTAAAATATATGGTAAAAATAATATAATTCCCTTATAACGCTTGTTGTGTACAAATATTGTAATACGATTATACCCTCAGTGAGGGTATATATATTTGCTGAATCGCAATTGACCAATATGTAAAGCGAATGACAAATAATGGGATTTGGAATATTGATAGTTAATTTATTAAATTGCAGCGATGCGGATCGTTATTATATTTTATTACCTTTACAGCTTGCAAAATGGTAATTCGATTATGTGTCAAAATAATGAATCAAATCAAATGTATAAAGAACAATTTGAAATTTTCAAGGTATGATTACCGACTAAATAATTGCACAATATGTGAATATATAACCAGTATATCTGTTTTTAGAAAAAAAACAATAGAAGCTATACACGTTCCTATGACGAAGTGCGCAGCTATGAAGCCTATGAGGAAAATCAAAAAATTGTCAACGAACATAATACGTATTACGAAACTGGAAAAAGCACCTTTAGATTATCAACAAATACATTGGCTGACATGGTATGTTTTTTTGAACATCATCGAATATATATCTATAAATATTTGTTATGCCCTGAACACATTTAAATTGTATGTAACAGGCGGAAGAAAGCCTCTCCGACCTTATAAGGCGTATATATTCTTGGTCAGCATCAATAGCCGGGTCGATCTCAGAACCTATAAGAGCTACAGACTTCAGCTACAGCTATATTAACTGGCCTGTTGCTGCTGATCTAGAATATATATTATATATTCTTTATGTGCGTTACAGATTTCGTGACAAAATTATAGCACCCTCTACGAGGGTATTCAAAATTATCCCAACCGAAGTAAATACTAATACGACTATTAATTACAGAATACCGATTCATACCTCAAAGGATATTTACGTTTACTACGGAGCCCAGCGATTTCGAATTTGGACAATATTGCCGACATAGTGGGCTCAACGCTGATGAATAATGTTCCAGAAAGTTTTGATTGGCGTAAAAAGGGATTTATTACACCATCGTATAATCAACAAAGCTGCGGCTCCTGCTATGCGTTCAGTATAGCTCAAAGCATAGAAGGGCAAGTCTTCAAGCGCACCGGTAAAATACTGGGCCTAAGTGAACAACAAATCGTGGATTGTAGTATATCACATGGCAATCAAGGCTGTATAGGGGGATCACTACGGAACACGCTAAGATATCTGCAGGCTACCGGAGGTCTTATGCGATCGCTTGACTACAAATATGTGTCAAAGGTAATAGAATAATAATATTATGCAAAATCGTATAATATAAAATATAAAACCCGTACTATCTTTAACTTCCTGTCTCAAGTTGTATTTCACATTAATGTTTGAATGTGAGTCCGAGTCCTGCGAACTTGAAACCGCAAGTAAAGTTAACGAATTCTTAATTCTTAAATCACATATACATTTTTATGTTTTTGTTTTAGAAAGGAGAATGCCAATTCGTAAGCGAACTAGCTGTAGTCAATGTCACATCATGGGCAATTCTACCGACAAAGGATGAAAACGCTATTCAAGCAGCTGTGGCACACATTGGTCCAGTTGCAGTCTCCGTCAACGCAAGTCCAAAAACCTTTCAACTGTATAGGTAAGGCTTAACATACGATCAAGTTTCTGAAAACTTATTTCCTGCAAAATCTCGTGGGTAACTTACCTACTGTCTTCTGTTTTATTAATCAAAAGTAGAAAGCTGATCAGAGCAGAAGAATATAATAATTTGGGAGAGATTAATAGTACAAGTGTGTACAGATTAGGTAATTAGATTGTCAGACGGCTGGGTCGGCTCGAGAGTTGGTCAAAGATCCCTTCTCCTCTTCCTTCTGACTATTACATACATTTATAGAAAACCATTATACACTATTTGCAATTACCCGGACTTGCCTGGGTCAAGTTTTATTCTCTTCCCATTTTCCGCTGTTGGAAAAGTGAAATGTATCCCTACTCTATAATATCCCTACTCACCAACTCCTAAAATCAATAGAATGGGGACTTAAACAGCAACCTCTCAGGCCAAATAGTTAAGATAGGTGAATACATTTATGGAGACTAAATTGTTAATTCTCTTATTTTTTGATATTTATATTTTTGCAGTGAGGGCATTTATGACGACATATCCTGTACATCAACCTCTGTAAACCATGCCATGCTACTGATTGGCTTTGACAAAGACTTTTGGATTCTTAAGAACTGGTGGGGAGAATTGTGGGGTGAATCTGGCTTTATGCGAATGCGTAAAGGTATTAATTTATGCGGGATTGCCAATTATGCAGCTTATGCAATAGTATAATCCGGAGAAAGGGAAATGTCGCCATAATTACAGGCAATGTTTGAACACAACTAAACCTGCTTTAATGTGTAGATTAATTTGTATAATATTAATGTTCAATAAAATCATATTGGATGTGTCCAACATGCGAACGGAAATATGTACACAAGTATGTATGGTATTTACAGCCTGCAATCTCGTTTGTCCAATAACTTAATTTAATTTGCATGCCACAATTTGTTGGAAAAGTTAATTAAATTAAAAGCAATATTCACAGTTCGTTGAATTCCAAATACAAAATACGTGTTATGTGCAAATTATGGGTATGATGCGATGTTTGGGGTGTAAGTGCCGGAATTCACTCTGTGTTTCCCTAGGGGGGTGTCTTACAACAGACGCATGCGTATCGGATGGAGACACGCCCACATTACTCCTAATTGGCGGATAACATGCCGAATGTACAAAATCTCTCCCGGACATTGCTGGTTAAAATTCGAGGCGCGAACCTTATTGGTTGACTATCATCTTATCTGCTATTTATTTAGTTTAGTGTTTGGTATGGTGGCTTTTGCAAAAGTCAGACAAACAGAGAAACGGAAACGCTTTCCTGTTCAGTCTTCACGGTTATTTCGCGACGCGAGATTTCTGGATTTTTTCGGAACGTTTGTCGGAAACAAACTAAAATGATGTTTGAAAAAGTGAATATAATATAATAATTACAATGATTATAAAACAAATGCACGGCGACCAATTTATGTAGTCGAACAATCCAACATCGGTTTATGTATTGTGACGCATTGCACAAGGAATCCCCAAGGAGTCGTCCCCCACAAGGTACACTTGCAATAGATATTCCCATCCGTCCGTGTCTCTCGATGTTTCTCTACAATATAATCTCTCAGTGTAAAGCGTTAATTGCATTACTTTTATGAACTAAGTACATTAGAAACATGCGTTTTTGGGATTTTGAAAAATCTATACAACAGTTTGTCGCGACTGATCATTTGATTCAATTCAATTGGAATTGAGTAGTTTTATAAATGCTTTATATTCTTTATAAATATATCATAAAAATTGCTGTGCATTGCAGAAAATATCCCCGACTCGGCTATCAATATAGGTACTAACCTTCTGCTTGTTACATACATTTCCACAAAACCATAATACCCTTTTTATACATTTTTAATTTGGTTCTCGGTATAAACATGACTGTTTAATTTTGTGGGTCGAAAAATTGTACAAAATTATAATATTTTTAATCTGTATATACTATACGAGAGACTTAATATTAAATTTTGGTTTGAGCTATGTTTAAAAAACCAAGTCTTAAAATAAGTAGTTGATCGATCTTGGAAATGGCACGAGATATCGACAAAAAGGAAAAAAACTTTCTGTTTTTGGCGATGTTTAATTAGTGGTTGTTGAGTGGTGAGTAGTGGGAGGGGGGTATGATTGGATTCAGTAGTTTGGTCCATTTGAAGATCCAGCGGGTGCACTCTCTTGAGTCTTCTGGTGGTGTTGCTGTTGTCCAACAGGCCAACTGCTAGGTTGTTGTCCTCACTAACACATGGGATCTTCAGAACACTGTGGATGGAAGCGTTGTCATGGTATGGTAATATGTGCATTGGGCACGATGCGTAGAGCCTTGATAAACATATGTACATGTTTAACACGAATCACACCACGTATCTAAAATGGAAGGAGAAATTTTGATTTCGATTTTTTCCATTTGATATTGATCTATGCAAAAAACAAGTAAGAGTGTTCTAATCAAGAGTGCCCCCGACTAGGTGATACCTCGAACCTTCTTCTACCGGAACCAGATGTACTCAACCTTAGCACTTTTCTTTACCTATTTATTGGGGCAAGGGACATACTAGCATTATTTAAAAAAATGTTATATTTTATAAATTTGTTTCCTCTCCGACGGCGTCGAACTCGCAACTGACCGAATTTCTTGCCATGTCTCACACCTTTCATCTACACTAACAATTGGATTTTGTTAGAGGAAAAACTTAATTAAAATTGCAACACATGCGATTAATGCTACGTGGCTTGCCAATGTTTTCTTTAATAACTTCTGTTTCTTAACCTTGAGAAAAATGTTGTGGGGGTGAGTCGGAACTGAGAAGTTAAACTGACTAGTCAACCCAGTAGAGTTGATTTACCCGTAATTAACTTATGAATAAATATAACACCAAGCATGGATCTACGATTAATTTAAGAAGGAACAACAACAATAATTAGAAGTGTACTGGAATAAGACGGAATACGCACACAAGGATCACAGATAATGGGCAAATAATTGGAATTGTTCCTGCACAGATTAAACTCTTGGTTAAAACCTTGGATTAAACCTTGGTGAATTGAATATTGCACGGTCGTAACACGGTCGTTAACTTGCATTGGAACAGTTTAGCCTTATAAGGCCTTCAATCTTGGCTTGTAATAGATTATACGATTACATAATAAATACAAGGCACAGCTTTACATCATCAGCACACAATACAATACCCGAGAGTTAGACAATATCGAAGGAAGATGAAAGCGGAGCGGCCCAAACGGACTACCTTGGGGAACACCAGAAGTCAACTGAATACATTTGGAAAACGAGTTTTCTAACAGATCCTTTTGGGTTCTGTTACTCAAATATTCCAAGATCCAGTACTGGGGAGCCAAGAGGGCATAATTTTTGAAGCACGGAATTCCGATTCCTTACTAAAATCAGTATAAATAATGTCAGTCTGCATTCTTTTCTTAAAACCATCAATTACTAGTGAAGTAAAAAATATTAGCGAATTATAAGGACTATACCGACTAGATTGTGTTGTAGTCGCTTTGTTGCGAACTTTCAGTAATAATAGGATTTCAGATGCAGTCTAAATTGTGTTACCGATGTGCATCAGTTCTGCAGTGTCTGGATCAGGATTAGTGATCTCACCTGCAAACTGAACCGAAGATGGCAATATAGATGTCGTACTTTTGGACCTCGCTGGGTAATAAAGAAGAATGCAGCTGGCAAAAAGCGAGTACAGGGTATCATTTATTATTTTAATGGCAGCATTAATGTCTACACAATTGTAGAGTTGGGTCCAGTTGACTTGAATATGATCATTCAGCCTTACCAGATCTTACGTAAGATCGGGCCAATCCCGTGCACACCACAAAATAAGAGATCTGTCTTCCGTGTTTTACTCACCCGAATAACCCGAATTAGACAGAAAGTTTGAATCAATTGGTAGGAAGTACTAGGGAGAACATCGATTTAACAGCGTTAGAATGGATTGGGTAAATAGACATGTTAGATAGTGGGGAAATATAGGATCTCGATCTCCGGGATAGGAAGCTCAAGAAGATATGATTGGCTTATAATTTATTTCTATTAATTTTCCCGATATTTTAGTAAGGTTTTATTGGGTTGGGTCTATGGTATATATTAATTTCCGCAGTTGGCCAATTAGTCAGTCAGTCAGTCAGGACAATTATATATGACAATCCACAGGCCATCAGTCTCCACTATGGAGAAAGGTGTGGGGAATATAGTATCAACATTATCAGCTGCTTTGTAGACATGCAATGCATTTGGTAATTGAACATACTTCAAGTAAAATGTGTAATCTGTTAAATGCAGCTTTTCCATGGCTACGAGTGCTTACCTGTAGCAAACCACTTGTAATTAGGCAAAGTAAACTCAATTATCCGCGCATTTCATTTTCAAATGTTAATCGTCCAGCAATTTAACCCAATTAAATATGCATGATGTTTTACGTGTAAACAAAAGACCATCAGCAGCGGCATCGGCGGCATCGACGGCATCGGCGGCATCAGTGTAATAATGATTACCCGCCCTCAAATGGAACACCTTCTATTATTTGCCTGTTGACAGTAACCACTCAACCGAATTATTGCCAACTCATCAGTGGGCATTTCAGTCGTTATCTGCCGCCTCGCCGTGCTCCGTATTCGTCAAAAGGACACATGCTTTCAAATTTCAACCACCCTCGGGATTGCCGTATTGCCAAACTGTAATCGTAATCGTTTTCAATTTCAATAGCCCATCGTGTACACATGTACATATACATATACATATACACACACACATATATACATGTTTGTATGTTTTTATTAAGTTGTTTTCATTCTTTACTTTTTTATACTCTGTAGTCTGTTACGAATGAATGCAAATGGGGTAATTGACTTGTAAACCTACATATATATATTGTATATATGTAATTCATGTAATGAAAAACTAGGTAATTGCTTAAACAGATAATTTATTTGTCATTTTTTGCAGGTAAAGCCTTGATATTTGGTGTTAAATTTCAATTAAAACGTACTTTAAGCTCAAAAGCTATTTACGTTTCAAACTGGGTACAGGGTAGCCTTTAGTCGGATACTTCAGAAAACTCTCGCCTAAGCTGAAATATGAGACCTGTGCAAGCCAACAAGCAACTAGAGTGGAGACTGAACAGCACGCCTTTTATAAACAAAATTAATTTAAGGTAATTGCATTGGCATTGCAAACGTGTTGCTTCACCCAAAACTTGCCTTTGCCCACATCTTTTATCGTATTTATAACAGATTGTCCTGATGACCGACAGTATGGCTTGAAAAGCTGAAATTTGGACGGGGACATTCTGTTTGGGCATACGCGAGCACTTCCGGGTAATACCTACCTGACAAAAAGCCAAAAAATGCTTCTTGATTATAAAGTTAATATTTCCAAAACTGCGATTTGTCGGGGGTTGAACTGCGCGTGACCGAAATAATTATAGTCGCCTTTAATTGTCTCGATTTGATATGTGCGAGATAACGATAATTCCGCTCTTTATTTGAATAGCAGACAATGGAGAGTCGGACGGAATCAGTCTGCCCCTGATGGACATGTCTACAACAAGTTAGCTGTTTTTCAGTATATATAGAAAGGTTTGTCCTGGTGATCAACGCACAGCCATAAGAGCTAGAAGTATAAAATTCTCACTGTCGGGGTTTCGGCAAATTCCACTCGTAAGCGTGGAAAAATCGCGAAAACGATCGTAAAATAAAAATATAATAATTTTTTAAGGGATCTTTTACAATCAACGATTTTGTTCGATTTTGATTCAAACTTATTATTAAAGGCCTACATGAGAATTCAATGAATAAGTGTTTTGGCAATTTTTAAAATGCCACCCGCAACTGTGGTACAAGTTTTTCAACGTGATTGCTATTCGATCGGCCTCAAACTTATTTT